ACACAAAATATCAGTAGTTTTTTTAATTACGTTTTAAGATGTTTAATTAAAGATTTGCCCATGCTATTTTTTTCTTTTTGTAATGCTGACTATCCAACATGCAAAGTAATTTTGATTTTAAGATTAAAAATATTTTTATGCATCATAAAGTTGTCAAATTTCATTTGCAAAATCTCTATAACCTCCAGTTAATTATCAAATGTTTTTTTAGAAAACTTTATATCTTATCTGGAATTTTCTTTATATTATCTCTCTATGAGTTTGGTCAATTTGACCAACCTTGTAACCACCATAAAAGATTAGGAAATAGATCTAAAATATACTTTTATCTTTCTAGAATGGCTACAAATTGTAACATGAAGCCACAAATGTTTATTGTAAATAGCTTAAATCTCATCAATTTATCCATCTATTTATATTTATTTATTTTATTGCCATGTCTGACTAACATTACACAAGTTGCAATCACGTGTCACACATGCAGCTCATGTTACCGTATCCAGTAGCATAAAACTGGCCTTTACAAGGTGAAACTGTTTTAGCTTTGTTTTAGTGATCTTGTATTTTGTAAAATACAATCACATTTCGGTTATAATATATTACATGTGTATATACATTATTATTATTTACAAATAAATTCATAAATTTAGATTTTTTCTTAAAACATAGAACAGTAAATAAAGGAATATAGAAAACAATGATATCTAATACCTATGATTGTTACAAAGATTGTACTTGCTTGCTGTACCGAGCATTCTAAGCCTTGTCAAGTTTTGTATGTGGAGGATGTAAAACAAAATATTTTTTTCGATTTTATATATGAATTTTGAAATAACAAAAAATTAGAAATTTCTATATCATTACTACGGAATTTCACTTTAATTTATCAGGCTTACTAACTAAGCAGTACCTGGGTCTAAAATATATCATTTTTCAACCACCATTTTGTCTTATTTCTTTTCTTCGATCTTCGAAACAAAAAGACTATTCTTAGTGAATAGACACATTCCAAGGGCTGAGTAAACCATTTGAAGGAAATTCTGAGCTTTTGATTGGTTAAACACATGAATATTTTATATTCTAGCTTGTCAATATCAGTAATTTGAGTTTTTATTTATTAAAAACTATGAACTTTGTATTTTGACATTAACACACCTAATTTGAACCAAAGCTGCATTTGACATGCATGTGACACACAAAAATCGATATTTGGGAATTTTGTTTTAATACTTTTAGAAATTATCTAATGAATAATATTAAAATTTGAATTATAATCTACAATTTGATGCCAAACTTATTGCCCTACATTCATGAAATACTAGTTCAATAAAATTTTGGACGTAAGTCTACAAATATGATAACATGCTCTCTGAACTCTACCTGTAGGAAAATCCATAGCTTTCGGGTTAAGATTAAAAATACTTTTTTTTCATATGTAAATTCTCAAATTTCATTTTCTTAATCTAAAATCTCCAAAATAAATTTGAAACATTTTTTTCTCTGTACAACTTTATATCTTATCTGTTATTTCTCTATCCTAACAAATTTGGCCAATGTTGTAACCACCAACAAAAATCAAAATAAATATAAAATACCCTTTTTCTCTTTTTATAATGGCTTCAAATTGTAACATGAAACTACATTTGTTTATCCTAAATAGCTTTAAACTCGTAAGAGTATACATCTATTTATAATTAAATGTTATTGTTTTATTGCCCTTTGAAACATGTCTAACTAATATTTCTGCCACACAAGTTGTAAATAACTTAGCAAATGTGTAGCTCATGTTACACTTTTGAATTAAAAAATTACATATTAACAGTGTATATTATGGTTATGATTATTATATGTGACTTGTTTTACTCTTTTTTTTTTCCACACAATAAAGATTGATGAACAAAAAAGTCGTAATATTAACATTCTGCTGATGTACTTATCAAACATTTTCATTGATATAGATTGATAATCACTCTTCAAATGTCCAAGAAGATACAAACATTGTAAGATATTCTGATGTCAAACATAGTTCATTGCTGAAAGATTATGAAAGCTTACAATTATATGTAAGTATCTAGAATACTCTTATAAAAGTGCATTTTATTTGAAATGCAGTGTAACACTGTACTAGGTGTAAATAAGTTTTAAAGCCAGTATCTTATTGCAAAGTATTAGTGTATTCTATCAATTGAAATAGCATGTAATAAAGAGTGTATGTAAGAAAAGACAAAATTAGTCAAGATAATCCATTACGTATATTTAAACAAGGAACAAATTTACATATTAAAAGTGTTTATTATTCCTTAAGTATTGCTGTATCTAGTTAGTTATCTGGGTCTTTGGCCACAATTGAATTTAGAATTTAATATAGTTCCCTATTCTATTTTTAATTTGAGCCATAATTACTTCTTAACCAACTTTGTACCAAACACAGTCAGTGGTTTAGTCATACAGCTGACTTTGGTGCCAGTTCCTAGCTTTACAAAAACAAAATTGTCTTTATACGTGTACCAAATATAAAGTTATAAATGGTTTAACTAGACTAGTACCAAAAGTATGAGCTTTTGCCTGAAGTAAAAGAACTGTATAAAAAGAAAATATACATGTAGAAGCTGACAAAGCAATTTGGGTCTAAATTTTTCATTGTGTGTGTACTAGATTTCTGAGGAAATTGATTCATTGATTGCAATGTTTCTATCTAAGCTGTCAGGAATTTAGCTATTGATATCTGAAGACACTTAAATACCAAAAATTAAAGCAACGTCAAATATTTTCTAATGTTATAAGTAGTATTTCAATAAAATGAGAGTTTATGTAAACCAAAGAAAAAATATTGTTAAATTCATATTTGCATACTGTTTCTAAATTATCAATTTCATAATTTTATAACTAGCTTCATCAGATTGCTAGCTGTGAGTTCAACTATTTCTTGGTTCTGTGATGTGCATGAATTTTCCTGTAGTAAAAAAGTTTCATTTACTGCTACTCAGAACTGCTAATACTTACCTACCATCCTTGATTAACCCCTACCAGTTACAATAATGGCATATTGGACCAACACAGCCTTTTAACTGCCAGGTTTATAATTTTATTAATAGGCATTAATAACTCGTAACCATCACCAAGTCTCAAACATAAACATTTCAAACACGACATGATATCTGACCCTTTTGAAACAAAATTTTTTTGATCAACTTATGGTTTATAATACAATAAAAGCTACTGCATAACATAGCCATTTACTACACCATTATGCATGCTTTGTGTAATGGCTGAACTGATAGTCAGTGTTGACACTTTTATCATAAGTAGGTGTGTGATGTGTACACTAGGTCACTTTGTCAAAAGAAACGGTGCAATAAAAATCATCTAAAGTATTATAAATAGATAGTATTTACCTCACTCCATTTTATTTTAGTGGTTCTCAAGCATTTCATCTGTGGATCACTTCAGTGGGGCAAAAGGTCCCAGAACCTCCTACCCTTCCTGTTCTGTTTTCTTGTATGGCCTCAGCCATAGCATTAGATGTTAGAGTCTTGCATTTTGGACTAGCCCACAGACTACCTGGAGGACCCTCACAGACCACACCTTGAAAACCACTGTTTTATACATAAAGTTTATTTGTGGCATGTATATATAATATTGAACCTGTGTTCAGTAAAACAACATTTACTTTTTGACCAACAGCAAAGTATGATCCTAGCATTCATTGATGGCTTGGCCTCAAATTTGAGCTACAAAACTAGTTATTGCACACACACAAAATTATCTGCCAAGACAATTACATCAGGAAAAGAAATAAAAATGAAGGGAACTCATTGGGTTAATTGATTATCTTTTTGTGGCTTACAAATAACAAAATACCGTAACTAAATGACATCAAAAGTCCTATACTGTCTACATATGTATCATATTGACATGAGGTGTTATAACAACTTTTAAGTTCCTTTGTACCTATGTAAGAAAGGAAGAAAGCTTTATGGCAAGTAGATTGCGAGAAAGAAAATAATCCCATGTCTCGGATGATGTCAAAAACTGTAAAATAATAAAATTTTGGGCAGAAAAATGAAAAAAAAACAAACAAAGAAAACAGATGCTTGAATTGATGTTTTATGCCAATGCCTATTGCCAAGTGAAAGTATGCATTTAAAATTATAACCTATGTTTTTCTCTTAATTTAGAAGTAGGACTAAAGAAAACAATTTATTAAGAGGAACCACAAATGCAATAATATTATGGCTGATAATTTCTTTAAACTTAAGGCCCTACAGAATTCTGAAGTTAATCACAGTTTTGTAGTTTGGCCTAAATTCAACTTTTACCATGTGTCCATATTTTGAAATTATCTTTCAAATGAACACTCATTCATGGTTAAAACCTTCAGTATGTGAGATTTTGAGTTAGTTCATTGTCTTATAGATAGAAAATCTAAAATCTGTAATATTTCAAGATATTAAGCTTATGTGGCATGTTTAATTTTCAGTATTATATTATTTAAACGGATAAATTTTTAGACTGACACATGGCTTTTTTTTCCCACCATTAATTTATTTGGGTTTAAATTGAGTAGGGAAAGGCTGCCATTATGTGAAATTGAGTTTTTTACAGTTTGTCCCAACAAGCATAACTTTAATGGTTATTGAGATCCCACTTTTTTTCTATTCCCTCCCAACTGTTATTTATTTACTATAGACAATAAGTGTAGAAACAGAATTATCATGAGTATAGTTCAGTTTGTCATTTTAGCAATTAATAGATGATTTAGACAAAATAAATAAGGAAAGTCCAGAAAAATTTGTATTTATCAAATTGGTAATACAGAGTCGATACCTTTTTCACTCACTTGACATTAACTATAATCTCGACTAATACCAGAAAAGCTAGAAAATATTATCACAAAGGATTCCACATTATTTATTTTTCTACTTTTATTTTTGCTTTGTTAGAAATCAGTATTGGCAAGTCATCAGGCAAGTGAACTCCTCTACTCTCAGCTATTTATACCAGCTAAACCATTGGGAGCTACTGAAGATGAAAGTAATATCAAGAACAGTACTTCTCTTGGGATCAGTCCTCTCGAGATGGATGCTAGCTCCTTCACTGTAGAAGAAATATATAAAAGTCTAAATAGACAATCTACTGCTGGAAAAGACAAGAAAAATGAGACTAAGTGCAGTGAGGTACTTAAAATATTTATGTAGAGAATATGAATGTTATACATGATAAATTGTCCTGGTTTACTTTACAATCTTCATTACTTTTAGATGATACGTAAACTCTTGTAGAAGAAAATACTTTGACATAAGAGTAGATGTTATTACAGCTAGATATTTTGACATCATAGAATTATTTTCTATTCTCTTTGTTAACCCTTTCACTACGGGCATCTTTTACTGGGCATGTCACAAGGTTTTTAGTGAGTTACATTCAAAATTTAATTAAGCTTCTTTTTGTTCATGTTATACCAATCAGCATAGCATAAAATTGTAGGTAATAATCCATATTTTAATAGTATATAAGTTTTAATTTCTTAATTTTGTAAGACAATACTAAAAAACAAATTCTGAATTTCCTCTAGTGAGAGAAATTTGACATTTTTTTCTCTAATTTATTTACCACCCCTCCAAGAAGTATGAAATTTAATGTAAATTACTCATTATAATGTTGTCATTGCTCAGGCAAAGCATAATTTTCATAGTCTTCAATCTTGTTTGATTACTGAGCCATCAAACAAAAAATCTGACCCCTCTTACAACACCTACCTGTCATATCTTCTCTTTCAGGATTTGTCAATAGCTCTCTCTTACATTTAATACTATATTATGTATGACAGTTAGGAAGCTCATATTTTCATATATCAAATGACATATGTTACATTGTTTTTTTGTAGAGAGGATTGTCAGTTTTTCTTTCAGTACAAGCTTCATTTCCATGGGAAACACATGGACTAGCTTGGATGAATTTGTTATGGGACATTACCTGCTTTCACATTTTATTATTCTTTGTTCTTTGGTGCATTATTTAATTAACTAAAAATTATTTAGTACAGTACTACCATTAATATATTTTTAAAAAAAAAGTAGGCTTAAGTTTTATTGACTGCTGACAGCAAAAAAAAAGATGACCTAGATAAGAACTTTGTTTTTTGTTTTTCATATGTATTTATTTATTTATTATTATAAAAAGTAACTACAATGTAAAAATAGGAAACTTTTTAGTTAAGGTTAGATTAGGTAAAATAATAATAATAATAATAATATAAGAAAATGTTTTAGAAGGATGCACATGATCAGCTTGGAGAAGTTCATGGGTAATGTAATTCGATATAGTAATATGAGCTGAATGTGCCCCAAGTGATTTACAACTTATAATAGCACAAATAGTAGTTAGACACAGTTCAACGGGTAATAAAATTTAAAAATAAATAGATATATACAGTTGTTTTGAGTTTAAAGCTACTTAGGATAAAAAAAGTCATTCTCGAAAGAAAGAACAGGTAATTCGAATACGGTACTTACCTCCGTTCATAAGATTAGCTATTTTTGTTCAGTGCTGCCCTCTATATACGAACATTTTCTTTATGCATGCCACAATCCTTGCACTCTCCCCTTGTTGGAATTAGTACATGTCATGCAAATCATCATGTATAATCTATTAACCGAGAGTAGCATAGTATGCTCACGTGACGCATATGACTCCCTCTACAATCCTTTACTGAACCTTCACTTCGAAATTTGGCTGCTTTTGAGTACAGACATATTCTTTTCTGCTTTGTGCTTCCCATGTGACACATTTTTGATTTTTGTTTCAAGTGGTTCTATTTGTTATACATTACCACATTTCTCACAGTTTATTGTCGTAGCTTTTGTGCACTAGACAATTTGTGCAGTTTTTGTGAGTTATGAATTCCAAAGTCAGCTTTACCACTTCAGGACCAATCTCCTCTCTCAGGCCTCAGGTGCAGGTGACAAGACTGTGAATCTTTCTGATTTTGTCTGTCGGGAGATTGAATACTACTTGGGTCACCCTTTGTCCCCTGACATTGCCTGAGTTCCTTAAGATTCTGCTGATATTATTCAGAATGATGACAATTTTGATCGTCTTTTTCCTACTCCCAAGTCTGCCATTCCTTCTCGGTTCCAGCCTGAAGATTCACCTAGCCATTCCTCAGCTTTCACGGATTTTGTATCTCAGGTTTGTGATGTTTTGTATCTTTTCCCCTATTTCTTATTCCCCTCTTCCTTCTTTGTTGCATGAGCATTCTTCTGAACCATTTTTGGTATTTCCTCCCTCTCCTGATATTCGGGTCTATGTGGATCACTTTCTCTCCCAGTTAGGTGAAGGGATCAGTATGCTATGCCCCTGAGAGCCTCTTATCAGTATGCCCTTGCTTACCATTGGGAGGAATATCTGTTTTTGTATCACCGGTTGTTGGATTCCTTCTTATCTCTTTGGGGGGTGGCTTCTGAATTTCACGTTAGTCTCACACATGCTCAATATTCTCATCTACTTACCCTTACTACCCTTCTCTGGTATCTGTCTTCTGTACATCTCCTCCCGGAGGATCTCCACAGAAATTTCGAGGGATTTTCTGCCAAATACCCTTCATCTTCTCTCTTCCACTTTGCCCTGTATTTCTTCCTCGACTCTGTCACTATATACGTGGTTTCTTTGTTGGTGAGACCATATTTGTAGGGACTCCATTCTGGCTTATGTTAATTTACCCTCCACTTATCTCAGGGATTTATTGTGTCTTGCTCCTTTTCTTTGACATTAAGTCTTTGATACCATCCCTAGTGATATCGAGCCACAGGAACATCTGCCCGACAACAGTCCATCCATTATCTTTTGTGGCCCGTTTGTCTTGACCAGCCACCCATTCATTCAAATCTGAATACTTCTTTTCGTCTAGGTCATTGCCAACGTATTGTTAGCTGTCAACTGTACTGGTGACTACCAGTTGGATTTGGGGCCTTTGGTAGCTTGTTTGTTGGATTTTCTTCTTTGCTGGCTCCCCTTTGTCAACTATCACATTTCTTTCCCTGCCACCTGTTTCTCCTCACCCCATTTCCTTTCCTCCTCAAGATCCTGTGACTTGCCAGCATCCATCAGAAGCAGTTCAGGATTTGCTTTCACAGCAGGCTATTGAACCACTTCATCATCCCCTGGAGGGGTTTTACTCCTATCTTTTAGTGGTCCCCAAGAAACCAGAGATTGGCAACCAGTCATTGATTTGTCATGACTCAACCACTTCATTGTACTCTCCAAGTTCACTTTTGACTTCTTTGTCACCCTGAAATGAGTGTTTTCCCCAGGATTTTCGATGACAAAAATGGATGTCTCCAATTCTCATCTCCACATCCCGATAGACCTTCACTCTTGTCTGTATCTTTGGTTTGTTCATCTAGGGGTGGTTTACCAATTTCTGGCTCTCCCCTTCAGACTTTCATTGGCTCCATACGTGTTTTGTGCCATCATTCGGGCCTTTGCTCATCATATTAATACTTTGGGGTTGCGGTTTCATCATTACATAAATGACTGGCTACTTCTAGCTCATTCTGAGCAGGAGTCGAACAATCACACTCACCAACACCTTTCTGTGAAAGCCTGAGTGGGCTGGTTGATAAAATTGGAGAAGTTGGTCCTTTGACCCACCCAATACTTAGTGCATTTGGGGGTCTTCTTTGACACCAACATCAGTCAAACTCTCCCTTCTCCTTTACGCTTTAGTTATATGGAATTTTTAGTTCACCATGCCCTCTCAGCTCGGTCACTTACTGCTCAAGAGGTTCTATCGTTTTGGGGAAAGTGGTCTTCCATGACTGCATTGGTCCCTTGATCGTGTCCATATAAGATCCCTGCAGCTGATACTTCACAAACAATGGAACATTGCATGGGATCCTCCTTCTGCCACCATTTCACTTTCTCCTTCACCTAGAGTCGATCTGTTGTGGTGGCTCAACAAAGCCCATATGTCGGCAGGTGTGCCACTTCCTCCCCGGAGTCCAGATGTCCATCTGTTCATAGACGCTTTCTTTCAGGGATGGTGGGGGGGCTGGGTTCGTTGGACCGTAGGACTTCAGACGAATTCGCCTTGCATTTCAATGTTCTCAAACTTCTGGAAGTCATCGGGCGTTATATCACTTCCTTTCTCTTGATGTCACAGTCTGGTGAGGGTTCGTTTCAATAACTACGGTGGTGGCTCATATCAACCACCAAGGGAGCACTAGGTCCAGAGATCTTTGTTTCCAGAACTTAGATCTTCTATACCGTGCCCAGGTACATCACATTCATCTTCTCATGTGCCGGTAGCAGATTGTATTTTAGGTCCAGAACGAATCTATCTCGTGAAGTGGTCATTAGATCTGATAATCTTCAGAGACTTTTACCTCCTATGGGGGTTCTCCCCCAATTCAATGTATTTGCCATGGGCCTTAATACAAAGTTACCCCTTTTGCTCACCTGTCCTGCATCCACAGGCTCTGGCTGTTGATGCCTTCAGCCAGGATTGGTCTCACAAATACCTTTATGTGTACCCTCCCATCTGTTTACTTCACTGGGTGATTTCTCTGGTACACTCCACTCTTTGTTGGGTCCTCTTGATTGTACCCCATTGGCCAGCACAACCTTTCCGAGGCTCCAATGTCTACTCTTCTCACCATCTTTCCCTCTTCCACTGTTTCCCTCCCTTCTGCATCAGTCTCTCATCCATGGCTCTGCATGGTCACAGTAGAGATGAGGCATTCCACAAAATCTCTGGAATGTTATCTACTTTGCAATAGTTGTTTACATAAATATGTCTATTCTGGACTGTACCACCCATGGATGGCATGGGTAAAGCAGAAGGGGGATAGCTGCCCATACCTTGAGTAAATAACTCGGTATAGTCTGCTTTTCAAAATAGGGTATCGTGGTCAGCCATTGCAATATGTCTGGTGATGACGTACTTCTGAACTCTCCAAGGCATTCTCAACACCCTTCTTCAAGTGAAGTATGGGAGTCCTTGCCACTTTCCAGTTCCAAGCCGATGAGGTGGTTGACCATGGAGAAACCCTCCTGAATGGGTTCCCCTAACAATTTGGCTATAACCATTGAGTCGAGAGTAGAGCGGTGTGTTCTGCTGGTGTAGATGCGACATGGCCTCCTGATACTATTTACACTATCACAGAAGTTGATCTGTCACCCTTCTGGATGATGTAAACCAACCACCATAAGTCCTTGCACAAGTTGAATCCATCCTCTCGATGCCAGATGGCCAGTCCTAGATTGCTGTAGGTTGTTGATCCTTGTGTAGTACCAAGGAATTGGAATGGATCTTAATCCCCAATTCTTGGGTTGGAGGTGAAGATGGTATGATCCTCATCCTACCTTCTGGTGGATGTTGGTGAGGTTTTAGATGTAGTTGATTTGCTGAGTACGGTCTGACTTGCTCTAGTTACACTACACCTCGCGATTTCCGCCTGTTTGCTTTACGAATTTTACACAAGGGCAAAGAGTATACCTGGCTCAGAAGTGGTGTGGTTCCCCTCCTCTGATCTCTTTCTCTCATGGTCAGGGGTATCCTTTGGATGCTTTCGGGGATGCTTCTGTTATTCCCTCGCACTGGTTTCTCCTCCTCCTGTGTGGGATTCAAACTAATCTTGTGGGAGAAGATAAGTACCGTATCAGAATTATAATTTTCTTATACTGAAAATGTATTTCCAGTAGGTATTTACCTCTTCCCACTCTTCCTCCCCACTTCTCTGGTGCTCTCACCTTCTGCCAAATTTCAAAGTGAAGATTCGGTAGAGGAGTGTAGGGGGAATCACGTGAGCATACTATGCTACTATTGGTTAATAGATGACACATGATGATTTGCCTGAGAAACATGTTGGAATGTACTAATTCTAACAGGGGGGGAGTGCAAGGCTTGTGGCATGCATAAAGAAAATGTTTGCATATAGAGGGCAGCACTGAAGGAGAATAGGTAATCTTGTGAGAGGAGTTAAGTATCTATCAGAAATACATTTTCAGTATAGGAAAATTAACTTTAGATTTATCTA